ACCCCGCACACCTCCTGCTCGCCTACAATCTACTGCGGGTGCTCGCGGAGCCACTCGTCTTGGCCGACGGTGCCGAACGTTTCATTATGTCTTTGTTTAACCCTCCCATTTGTTTTGCTACTTCTAATCTCTTGGAGCTCTCGATCGCTAGTTAATTGAAACTAATACTGCCAATGTAGGCGCTTCAAAAAATTTTACTACGCTTGTATTATAGTTTTTTCCTATAAAAACAACAAGTTACCAAGAAAAAAAATCTGGTCGTCCAAAGTAGATATTGACTTTACTTATCCGTATCCTTATTCGGCTTTTACATAAATTCTGAGTAAATAGACTTGTAACAAATGTTGTAGGAAAAGATATAAAATGATATAGTAATAGATCAATAATATAAGGTGTTTATTGGTTACAGCCGCGCTGCTGGCGGAGTGGAGCGCGACGGGGGAGGGCGCTGCGGGCGAGGGCGCAGCGAGCGAGGGCGCGGCGAGCGAGGGCGCGGCGAGAGAAGGCGCGGCGGAGCGCGCTCGGCCGGCGCTAGCGGGCACGCAGTACGGCGAGGCGCTGCGGCGGCTGCACGAGCGCCTAGCGCCCACGCTCGCCGGCCGCAGGTGCCCACATATATACAAATATACTCTAACGATGCCTTAAAAGATGTAGATCTTTATTTAATATGCAATATTATCAATGGCCAGCACACTTCTTCGGTAGCGTAGAAAGATGTCGGCTACCGAAGGGGTGTGATGCGTGAAAGAGCTCGTTGTGTTGCAGCGTGTGCTCCAGCTGGGCCGAGGCGGCGCAGTCGGGCGCGGGCGAGGGCGAGGGCGAGGGCGCGGGCGAGGGCGAGGGCGCGAGCGAGGGCGAGGGCGTGGGCGCGGGCGAGGGCGAGGCGCGCGTCGCCGCCGCCTTCCTGCTGCTGCACGCGGCCGTGTACGAGCTGGGCCGGCTGGCGCGGCAGGACCTCGCCGTGCACTACGTCGACTTCTTCCGGTCGGCGACACTACACCGTTCAATAGTTATCTCGTCGCGCGACATCTACACGACATTTTCGTGACGTGAACAAAGTGTACAGCGATCTCTGAACGATTCCGCCGCAGAGAGTTGTACACTTGTCTGAATCACACACACTTTCTACTTTTCAATACCATTTAATCATCTATCTATAACATTGCAAGACAATTGCACTACTATAGGTATATATAATATCGCAAACTATAATATAAAACAAAAATTTATTTTACAAGCACATTTTTTCACTATTTCAATGATTATTCTACTTGTTCATATTATTCTCCGCCAGCACTCTCCCGAGCTACCAGGGAGGTCCGATGTCTTCCATGCGCGTTGTACACAAAGCGATTTTGAATCGTACATGAAAGTGTGATATTCCTCGTACTTCCGAATACTGCGCCGGGGCACGTCCCCGCGCTTACGAAGGAGTATTTATTTATTTACATGATAGACTTATAGCAATTAAGATGTAAAGTGGAGGGGGTGGCTCGATGGTTATTCTGCATTTTCGCTTTATTGATGTAAAGGGTATGCGATAGGGAGGGCAAGTTCGCGGAGCGGCTGATGGCGGCCAGCGTGCGCCTGCTGCCGGGCCCGCTGGCCGCGCTGGCGCACGACGCCGCGCCGCCGGGACCCGCCGCGCTCGCCGCCG